CTAAGTCCTAATAAATTCGCTATCAGTTCTAATTTTGGTATTTCTACATTTCTTGGTGCAGTTCTTGATTTAGTCTGAATAAGTTGAACTAAGACATTATTATTGATTTCCATTCTTAAAAATATGCAAGTTTCATAAGCTAATGTACTGTTATTAGAAAAAAAGTGAATTAATGATTCTTTTATGTTAAAAGCTTGCTTGATCTTGGAACTTTACAAAAATGTCTTTTAGCCATTTTCCCAATATATTTTCTGGCAATTTTTTTATCCCACCTAACTTATCATTCCCAAGTTTCCTGTAACTAACAACATTTTTGGTATAAGAGTTACTGGGCAGGTATATCCGATAGTATCAAATACTCTATGGACGGAAAAAAAAAATTGTAGAAAAAATTTCTACAATTATACATTTTTTCTCTACAATAAATAGTACATATAGGGACAGGGACAATTTGTAGTAAAAATTTCCAAATATTTGTAGAGAATGTATTATAGAGTTATTATCTAAAATATGTAGTAAAAATATCTAAATGCATCATAAGAATTGTTCTACAAATTGTTATAATTTTTGCTATTAATTGTATGAATTTATATTAAAAATGTATTGCGTTTTATGAAAATAAATAGGAAAATTTTACACAATAAATAGAAAAAATTCATACAAATTGTAGTAATTTTTAATAAAATTTGTAGTAGTATTCCATAATTATTATAATTATAACCTAGAAAAAATGTTCCTTTATAAAATATTCAATTTATTGTTTTAATATAAAAGATACAAAGTCTTAATTACATTATGCAATAAATAACAGTAATAATAGCGCCCTCAGTCTCAGTTGGCTTTTCTGCATCTGAAAAATATGAAATAAAAATTAATAACTATTGAACTGTTAATACCCTTAAAACGAAGATATTTATCACCTTTATACTGATTTGGATATTAAATGACTAAGTCAGATAACTAACAAAAATGAGAAAGTAGGTATGTCACAATTAAGACAAAAAAACATCATTAAACTTGGCACAACATTCGATCGTTGGGCACAACATTCGATCGTTGGCAACTATTTTTTTTTAAATAATCTAATAAGGTTATTTAAATTAGTTATCTAAAGGTAAATTATTCAGAAACAATAATAAATGTACTTACCACTAATAGAAGTTATTTTCTCAAACGCATCGGTACATAATATAATAATATGTTATACTCGTATATGTACCATGCTTTGTTGTGTGAACATGGCGAACGGCTACTGCTGTCTGGCCATTTCTGATCGACGTCAGAAAACGTTGGCCAATAGCAGAATTCTGTTTTATTCACATGACTTAAAATTTCTACAATAATATAGAATATTTTTGAACGAAATTCAATTTTTTTTATAAGAAGGGATGTAAAGTATTACTATTTTTTGTAGAGAAAATTACTATTTTTTGTAGAGATAATTATTAATATTTGTACAAATTTTTACAGAAGTTAGTAGTAGTAATTACGATAATTTTAATAAATTTCTACTTCTACAAACAATAGTAAAATATACTAAACATTGTGGTCTCTTTTCCTATTGTTGTAGAATTTTATTTGACAATTCAATTGCTACAATAATGAATAGTTTTTAACTATAAATTGTAGTAAAATGTTCTACAAAAAGTTAAGTATTTTTCTACAAGTCTACTATCACAACATCTAGTAAAATTTTCTAGTAACATTTTTTTCCGTGTGGGCTATAGATTACAGACCGCGTTTGGTTTTTACAGTATTTTTAAATCAATAAGAGTTTTTAAATCACAAAATAGTAAATCATTTGGAATATCCCATAACATGCCTAAAACGCTGCTAAATTCCACAGAAGAAACAACATTATCTAAGAATAAACTGAGCTTATGTCATTAGCTTTTTAGAATTTTTAATTAATTTTTCTAATTCTTTTATATTGTTTACACTAATAATAAGAGTATTAAAATAAAAGGAATTAGTTAATTTTTCTGATATATCTTTTAAATGTTTTGAATATAATATCCTTTAAATATTTATTTAGGAGAAATACTTATCTGTAAAAACGCTTTTTCAATATCTGCAGTGACTTCTATAATCCCTAATCTGAATTTTATTAATAAAGATGAAATTACTTCAATCAAATTCGGCCCTGTTTGTAAACAAGTGTTAAACGTATTATCTAGTCCAACCCTGGCTGATACATCAAATACTGGCCTAATTTTGGTTGTTTTAATTGGTTCCTTTATGACTGCATGATGTGGAAAATATTGTACTGGACCACTATGAGGAATTTCTTCCTTTATTTCTTCTATGATACCTAGCATCTGCCACTCCAATAGGACATTTTCGTAGTCATTTAATTTTCCAAGAGTTGTTAACCTTTTGCTGGTAGACATTAATCTTTGCTCTAATAGAATTTTATTACAGCACAAAGATTGATATTCTTTATTCCATGGTAATCTAACTTCATATCGTCCTTCTTCATTAACCATGATATTTTCATTAATGAACATAAGTGTTTCTTCTTCTGTTTTTTCCTTAGATTTTACTTTCAATGGGTCCTGTATTCCTAGAACATCTAAATTCCATAAGCTTAACATTAGGACATTTACAAATTATTGTCCATCCTTATCTAGTTTTTAGAGATATTAACCCATTTGACAAAGTCTGCAAGTTTTTTGTGAATAACATTCCAAAAAAGTCTGCACCTATTAATAAACCTGTCTCTAATGGTGCACTTGAAACGGAAGTATCACATAAAATTATATTCTTCTGTTGTAGTTCACTAATAATGTCTAAATTGTGAAGTCTAGGATTATAATTACAAATTTGTTTCTAATCTAAAACTTGCATTATATTTCATATTGCTCGTTTTAAGTTTTAAGCTATGATAACATAATTGTAATGTAGTACATGATTTATTTGACCTCCAAAAACTCCTTGTATAATATTCTCTGTACCTTTCCTATCAAAATTTAATTCCACATTTAGCTAATATGTACGATCTTTGCGAACTAGAATCTAATAGAGCTCGAATGATTTTAGCTTTGTTTCTTTCTTTATTTATTACGTTAATCAAAATTGTTTGAATTAAAGTTTCATTAAATAATTGTCTACTTGATTCACTATTTTCTGCTGCAGATTTTCCTTAATTTTGCTTTTGGGTAATGTTTTTTAATGCATATTATACATCGGATAAAATTCTTACAATTTTTTGAAGTATGATTTTACTTCAGACATGAAGAACATCCTCTTTTCTTTAATATTTTATTTTTCCTATCATCCATAGACATTTTCTGGGCCTTGAAACAGTCTTGGCTTAAGTGAGTTTGATCACAAAAAATACATTTTGGAACCTTCTTACCCGCGATATTTCCCTTTAAAGATTGTGAGTAAAGTGTAGCTGCCGTAAACAACTGTTGTTCTTCTTGTTTAGATGTACCTCTGTTGCTGTGACTTACGGTTGTTACTTGATTGTCGCCTGGTACTTTAGTATCATCTGCTGCATCATCAACGGAGGCAAAACTCTTCTGAGCCAACGTAGTTCTTTGTTCGGCCTCTACTTCTCGACGTAAGAAATCTAATAATAATGTCAAAAAATTAGAATTATTAGAATTATTTTTCGTAATATTACCAAGATAAGTACTTCGCTGTCGCTTTCAAGTTTTCAGAATATCTGCTGGTAGAGACGACTTTACTAACGGGTAAAGCATAGCTGCATATTTGTCGCTAGTGACTCCCAATGATTCTAGTAAAGTTAACTGAGTTTCAAGCTTATAATATAAATTAGCTACTACTTTTATTGATTTTTTGATGTATGAGACTTAATAATTCTCTTACATAGATAAAAAAACTCATCCCAAGCGCAACGATTTCTTAACTTGTTTAGTGCCTTTTTATAATTAGCCTTTGAGAATGGAAAACTTTTTACAATTTTTCCGGCAATAGATCCTAGTTCCGTGGCTTGAATCAAATATTGAAACTTATCTTCATCATCTATATGATCGTCTTCATATATTTTCTTATATTGGGCCGAAAAACCTATCGAAATTCTTACATCCCCGTTAAATTTTTTCAACTCTAACATGGGCAATTTAAATCTGTTTTTTTCTACTTTCAAGCATTTATTCTTGCAGCTGCCTTTCGATTCTTCTTTAAGGATAAACTCGCATCTGGCAGTATAGTTTATTATATATTCTTTGTGGAGTAACGTTTGAACTAAATAAGCCGTATCTAATATGTTCGTCCAAAGAAAATATTCTTCCTGACTTGCTCTCCAATTGCCTCAAGTAGATAACCACCTGGATTTGAATGGGCTAGTGCTGAGTGGATATCTTGGAAAGTCTTCTTAAAATATTTTCGTAACCGATTTCTTTCAATCTTAAGATTTTACATTTTTAACGCTGTCACGGTTGCCAAATATTAGAAATGTGCAAGTAAAAAATGAAATAATGGTTAATACTTTTCTCTTTGACAAATATATTTTTTTAATGACAAAATTACTAACAATTCTTAAACCAAGTCTAACATTAAGTATATTATGGGTAAGTATAATATATCAACTCTAACATATGGAGTCGTACGAGTTCGAAGACTGACCATAACTCTGGTCAGAGTCTTCAAACTCATAACACCATAATGATGATATATTATACGGAACACTTTTATGAGTTAGGTATCCGCAGTCAGACAGTAAGAAAACTGTTTGTCATCTCTAAATAATTTAAAATTAAAATTTGTCATTAAATATTGACACAAGCCTTTTATTTCCTATCACATGGTAAGTATATTACAATTTCTTTTGAGTTTGCTCGCAAAAAAAAAGTTGTATTATATTATATTAGGGAGAACTTTACAATAAAAAAAATAGTTGGACGTCAAAATTTGTTAGATAAAAAGGGGCTGTACATTTTATCTCTTGTAAAAAATTCTAATTTGCAACTGTATCCATTGCATTTCAATTTTCTTCAATGAAATATATATTATTAAAATAAAAAACACTTTACCTGCCTGTATAAGCATTCTTGCACATTTTTCTATTGTATCTTTTTCAGTTCCAATAATAGTAGCACACTTAGATTCTCTACTATTGTTTAAAACAACACCAAAAGGAACAGCATATTCTTCATACTGCAGTAGAACATGTAAAGCATTTTCCAAAAAGTATGTTAATGTATTTACGTCACCATTAAGAACATTTAATAGGGCTTCAAGCTTATCTGCATTTGCAGTCCTTGCAATGTAATGTATAGGTTCCCATCCATACCATTTTTCATCTGAGTACTTGATATTACCGTATTTTGATTTAATTTCAGTAAATAAGGTACCTATAAAATATGTTTATGTTAATGTTTTGATAAATCCAGAAACCGTGTTAAAAATACAACCCATATTTTAATTTTAATTAAGTATTATGTGGTAAAAGTTACTCCAAATAAAACCAAAGCACCATTATGCGATTGGAATAAGCAACAGAGCATCAATGAAATTAATACCTACAAAAAAGTATCTTTATAATACTTGCGATCATCTACCGGTAAGGGAAACAAGCACCTTATTTTGAATTACAGTTTCACAATTTTTTTAATGGACAAAGCGACATCAATGTATGAAGAATCGATAGTACAACCTTGTGGCATAATAACATACAATCAAAATTGATAAGGTAAATAGATGACTATGTGTAAAGCAAGTGATGACATTTCGAAGTGGCATGTGTCAGACGAACCATCGTGATCAGACCACAAAACGAGCAGTATACCGAGTAAGTAAGGCCATTATAACTGTTTAAGAGGAAATCTGTCCGAAAAAACAAGACAGCAAAAAAAAACAATCTGATGAAACTAACACTTGGAACGCCTTATAAGTACGAAGGCTATTTAATAAAGCCAAATTAATCCTGTATAAGGCAAAACTCACGCAGTACAACAAGGAGAAAAGAATTGTTAAAAAACAATCGCGGAGAAAGTTCTGTGAGAAGTTATCTGAAACACCCACATGCTCTAGAATCCATAAAGTTTTATCTAAAGAGGGTACTGCAAACCAGGTAGGATTTCTCAGAAAAAATAATGAAACCTATAAAAAACCTTCGAGGAAACGTTAACAATGCTCAGAGAAGTACACTTTCAGGTAGCAGAAATTTTGTTAGACTTGATAGTAGCATACACCCCTCAAAGAAGTTCTATTAGGCCAACTCCTTTGGAATGGAGGCTAGCTACAGAAATATCGAGTCCAAATAGAATTAGATAGGCTACAAAAAAATGTAGGTGTGTAGATGTTCTACTACAGAAGGGACACGAAACTTTAATTCCACATATATGTCGCATATTTAAAGCACCTATAGCCTGGCGACATATACAGAAGGCGTGGCAAAAGGTGAGAATCATATACTTTAGTAAAGTAGGAAGGTTTAATGGTATGACAACAAAGTCATGCCGTCCAATCAGTCTATCGTCATTCATTCTGAAAAGGCTAGAGACCCTAATAGATAGATATATGCGAGACGAAATACTGAGAGGAAATACTCTCAGCGACCGTCAATATGCATATTAGTCAGAAAAGTCAATCGATTTGGCCCTGAATGATCTGAACAGGCTATTGTCAAAATTCCTAGAGGATAAAAAAATGGCAGTAGCAACTTTCGTAGATATTGTGGGAGCTTTTAATAATGCCAAAACAAGATCTATAAATAACGTACTAGAAATGATTGGGGTATCAGTAGTAGTCCCATTTTAGTGGATAAAATCCAGCCTAAAAGAAAGGGCAATAACATCATCTCTAGGCGAAGCTACACTGACTGCTAAAGCAGGCATGGGCTGCTCCCCGGGAGGAGTCCTTTCACCCCTCCTCTGGTCAGTCCTAGTAGACAAACTCATAAAAAGGCTAATATCTACAGACTTCTGCTGCCTAGGGTATGCCGATGACTCAGCGATCGTCTTAAGAGGCAAGTCCGCCGTACAATATCGGAACGCACACAAACCGCTCTAAACATCGTTGACGAGTAGTGAAAAGAGGAGAAACTAACAGTATACCCCCACAAAACTACAATGGGAAACTTCACAAAACAAAAAAAAACTGCCTGAAAGGAGAGAATATATAATTTGCTCAAGATGCCAAATACTTAGGAGTTATCTTTAACCATAGGTTCACATAAAATCAACACTTGCAAAAAGTCAGTTAAAAAAGCACACCATCCTTGAACTTATGTTCAAGGTTGTGTGAAAAAAATTGGGGTACAACCAAAAATTTCTCTATGACTATATACCAGAGTCATAGGGCTGATGATAACGGATTGTTATCGTGGCCAAATACTCCGCAGGAGCCTTGAGAACTACTGCAGCTATAGAAGTCATGCTAAACTTTACACCACCACATAAAATTATTCAAGGCGAAGCTAGATCTGTCACATAGAGACTGTGCAAAAGTCCATTACCCATAAGCAGTGTGCATGTACTTGACTGTACCGAGCTATACAAATAGATGAATAACGACCAACTTATGAAAATGCCAACAAATAAAAAAATTGGCAACACCATTGATGTAAATAATAAAAAGCAACGCTTCCAGATGGTATCTCTGCGGTAAACCAGTTGTAATAATAAAAAATGCAGAGCTAAACATGACAATTCTAACAACTTGAGTCGTGTTACTTAAATATGACAAAATCAGTTTCCATTTTGTTCGATTTTATTAATTTCTTACAACGATTTATTAAATAGGTTAAGTAGAGGTTTAGCTATATCTTGAGTGTAATTCCATACCAGACTAGTAGGAATTTTATTCTTAGGAATTGTTCTTATTCCTTTATTTCAAAACGTGAAAATAGCACTTGATTTATTTTAGAGTGACTTCATCAACGTCCAATTAGGAATACATTACCTAGAGTACTGGCTGCAACATTTTCGTCAATACACGCTATAACCAGTATACTGTTGTCTTTTAATTCGTGATTAAATCTATAATATCTTAAATCATCATCTGTTTGCGGATAAAGTTGTAAACAGTTCTTAATTTCTTCAACTTTATTATTTAATACAGCATCTAGGAGATTTTTCAAAATAATTTCTTTCGTATTATGGTCCAAACTAAAATTTTCAATAGTGTGACTGTTGGTCAAAGGTTCATTTTCCGATCTTAAACCCATTTCCATATATACCTCACTCATTTTGGAAAACCTTAAAAAATTATTAATTAATGAACACATCTTTGTTAAACATAATATTTACTTGCTTTACCAATAATTATTTAATTATTCAAAAAATTGACATTTTAATAAATGGATTTAGCGCCTATTAGTTACTAATAATTCTTATTATTCAACTAAGTATTTCAGTAAAATTAATTATTATGTTTTGAATTCTGAGAATTAATGACTTTATTTGGAAATTGTATTTTTAGATATCAAATATTGAAACATTATTAGTAGTTTTTAATGATCTGTATCAACTACTTAGATCATTTCATGATAATGGCTAGATTATGAAACAAACTATTTAACCATATTTACCTAAGATAACTAAATAAAAAGTATTTAGGGACATTAATTTAATAGGAAGCTGTCTAAACATAAATATTAGATAGAGTTGATTTGAACAGTAGAGATAATAAATTCGCAGAAATGTTCTGCGATAATCAACCAAAATGCCAGAAAACTATAGATAGAGCGAAATTAAATGAGCAAATGAATGAAGTCAATTAAAATTATTCAAAGACCTGAAAACAATCAAATATGTATAACTACCTGCAGGGTGTTCTGCTTTAAAAATATATAGGTTCGGTCAACACCTTGTTTATGGACCACCTTGTATATTTTAATTTTTAAATGGTCATACAACTTTTATATAATTTTTTTCTCTTATTTTTAATAATAAAACAGCTATCGATCAATTACGCACTGATGGGACACTCTGTATATGTGTTATTTTCTAACATGTTGGTATTGTTGGATAGGCAAATTTATAAGGAATTGTATGCTAAAATATTATACCGGGTGTTAGCGCGCCACTGTGCATATATGGCACTAGATAATATAGACGTATTCCGTTTGACATGTCCAAGCAGTTATTCTTATTCGGGCGAAGAGTAACTACGTGCCTTGTCTTGATACGGTATAATATTTAAAATCTAAAATCAGAAAGTGGGATACAAAGAATCCATTATTTAAAATCGACGTCTAAAAATTTATTATACTGCTCGAGCCGTCGCGACTAAAAATTGTTTATAATATCATGAAGATAAAAGTTGACCGTCAAAGAAAAATGGCAGAGTTGTGTTTTTAAAGATGGGACTATTTGATTTCACGTTATAAGAAGATATTCAGCTAAGTATATTTTGTCAATAGCTAATGTATTTCAGCGTCTTTTATTTATTTTTATTATTTATTTATTTTTGTTTGATTTGATGCCGCTTTCAAACATGAATTAAGTCATTGTCATTTTTTTTATATCGGTTGTCGATTAGGTAGTCTAAAAAATATTTTCGCTCAAACACTTACTTTTTTTGTGAACAGTGGTGTTTTTGTGCAGTTAAAAATATAGAGTTTGCTTTCCTTTTTTTTTTTTTTGAAGTGAAGTTTACGTTAAAACGAAAACTGTGCGTATAATATTGAACAAAATGACTGATGAACATCATATTACTCAACCAGTTTCTGTCGAAAATACATTAACGACTTTGCTACGGGATTTCCTAAATCGTTCAGTGCCTCATGAAAGACTTAACTTGCCAAAGTTTGAGCCGCGGCGAGATGATCCTGAACAATGGGTTAACGAAATATCGGAGATGGCGTCTGAACTTGGATGGAGTGACAGCACTATTATGGCTCAAATAGGAGGTTGTTTTGAAGGGGAGGCAGGTGAATGGTTTAACGTTTGGAGTCCGATTGACCGCCGCTCATGGGCAAATTTAAAAATCGATTTATGTGAGAGCTTCGCAGGTACAGTTAATTTTGGAAAATTGATGTATGACGCAATTTCTTTTTCTTCTGAGGGCTGTCCAACGTTTGGTCAATATGCCCGTTTAAAACTTCAAAAAATTAATGCCCTAAAATTACCTTTCACTCAAAGTCAAATCGTTAGCATAATTTGCTTTACCATAAAGGATGTAAGTCTTCAAGCTCAGATGACACAAGTTGGTCATTCATCTGTGACTAATCTTATTTCTCATTTATGCCGAATTCAAACTAAACCATCAGTTAGCAATAAAATTAGTTCCTTTGTGCCTATAGTTTCAAATAATGCACCGAACAAAAGTTTAAATCAAGTAAAAAATTCTTCTTTAAAATGTTATAGCTGTGGTCTTTTAGGACATCCAAGATTTTTATGCCCCCAAAAAAGTACTCAAGGCAAAGGTCTTAAACGTGAAAGAGATGATTTTAAACCCAACACTAGTAATACTTGTGATTTTTGTCAAAAACCCGGACATGTAATTGATAATTGTTTTGCTAGAAAAAAGCAAAAAGGTAATCATTATAAGAAGGTTAATTTGTGCTATTCTCCTACACCTATTTCGTCAGATTTAAATTTGTTTTCACTTAATATTGATGATCACGATTATGAAGTTTTAATCGACACTGGTGCTCAAGTGTCTTTATTGCGTCAATCTGCTGTTAAAAATATGTATTCTTTGCCAATTTACGAACATATGACTATTAAAGGCGTTGGTAACCGCACCTTTACGTCTAAGAGTGTAGTCAATGTTGAAATAAATCTTAAAAAAGAATTTAAATTTCCTCTTAAAATGCATATTGTTTCAAATGATTATATTCCTTGTGATGCAATAATTGGTTTGGATTTTATAAACATTCCTGGAATGTCTTTAAAATTTACTCAAAGTTCACCTATTTTGGAATATGTTCCTTCAAATCTCGTTGAAAAGCAATTGGAAGAGTTACTTCTAGAATTTAACGACATTTCTTCTTCTGGAAATAAGATACCCACTCCTATCACAACAGGGGAATTTAAAATTCGTCTCACATCTGATACAGAGATCAAATTTCGCCCTTATCGATTCTCAATGGTGGAAAGAGAGACTGTACGAAATCTTATCGACGATTTAATTAAAAACGAAATTATAAGGCCGTCTAATTCCCCTTACGCAAGCCCTGCCTTCCTTGTCAAGAAGAAAAATGGGGATTCTCGTTTGGTTTGTGATTTTCGTGCGCTCAATCGAATCACAGTAAAAGATCGGTATCCTCTTCCCCGAATTGATGATCAAATCGATCAGCTAAGTAATAAAAAATATTTCACTACTCTTGACATGGCCGCTGGGTTCCATCAAATTAAAGTACATCCTGATTCAGTAGAAAAACTTGCTTTTGTTACTCCAGATGGCCAATTTGAATATTTACGAATGCCCTTTGGTTTGGCTAATGCCCCCTCTATTTTCCAGCGAGCAATCAACACTGCTCTACAGGCGGAAATTCTAAAGGGTATTGCGTTGGTTTATATGGATGATATCCTTATTCCGTCAGAAACAAAGCAACAAGGTCTTGAACATTTACGGTTAGTTTTAACAACATTAAAGTCCCATGGTTTTTACATAAATATAAATAAATGCAAATTTCTTCAAGAACAAGTTGAATATTTGGGTCGTTTAATAGTAAACGGGATTGTTAAACCAAGTCCTTCTAAAACAGAGACCTTGAAATTGATGAAACATCCAAATAATGTCAGGGAGGTTCGTCAATTTTTGGGACTCGCTGGTTATTTCAGAAAATTCATACCACAATTTTCTGTTAAAACAAAAATACTATCAAATCTTTTAAAGAAAGATTCAACTTGGACTTGGACTAATGAACATTCAAAAGCTTTTGATGAAGTTGTTAAAATTCTTTCTGAAGAACCTGTGTTGGCAATTTTTAATCCAAATCTACCATTAGAACTCCATACTGATGCTAGTAGTCGTGGGTTTGGAGCTATTGTTTTTCAAAATCATGATGGTAAAAAAAAAAAGTAGTATCCTATTTCAGCAAAGCAGCCACAGATGTGGAATCTCGATATCATTCATACGAACTTGAAACTTTGGCGGTAGTAAATGCTTTAAAACATTTTAGACATTATTTTGTAGGTGTGCCTTTTACATTGGTCACTGATTGCAATGCTCTAAAAAATTCGCAACATAAACGTAACCTTGTGCCAAGGGTAAGTCGTTGGTGGATTTACCTTCAGGATTTTGAATTTACTATTTTACATAAATCTGGAGACCAGATGGCTTATGTTGATTATTTGAGTCGAAACCCACCAATTCCAAGTCAAGATACTTTTAAAAGCGTTTGTATTACCAAAATTTCTGAAATACCATTTGTCGAAGAAATAGACTCAAGTAGTCAAAACTTAATGCCGTCTGGGTGGTTATTTATTCAACAAAGTACAGATAGCGAAACAACCGAATTAAAGCAAAAATTACAAAATGGTGAAATAGATAAAAATCAGTTTTGTATTATTGGAAGTACCCTGTGTCATTTGAGTAATATTAACTCCGAAAAAGTTACTCAATATTTTGTTCCCAAAAATGCCAGGTATTCGTTAATTAAGGAATATCACGATGGGCAAGCTCATGTTGGTCTGGATAAAACCATTTTAAGTATAGCTTCACATTTTTGGTTTCCTCGAATGCGTCAATTTGTAAAAAAATATATTGACTCATGCCTCACCTGCCTTACCCGAAAGCGCCAGCCTCGTCGAGTTTTCAACGAAATTCACTCCATTCCGAAGATTGATATCCCTTTTCATACCATTCATGTCGATCTTCTTGGACCTTTGCCGAAAACTGAAGAAGGGTTCACTCATGTGTTTATAGCAGTCGATGCATACTCAAAATATACATTTTTATATGCTGTTAAGAGCTTGAAAACTGAAGATTTGGCCGATTGCGTACAGGATATTGTGTTTTTGGTTGGCACTCCAGCTCGTATTATCACAGACAATGCTTCTTCTTTAAAAGCCATTCAAAATAATCTCGAATGGGACATCGAGTGGCATTTCATTACGCCCTATGTACACCAATCCAATGGGCAAGTGGAACGTTACATGCGATTTGTTTCTAACTTGCTAAGAGTTCAGGCCGACTGTACCGTTCAATGGAGTTCGATGGTATCTAGAATTCAACTGGTAATCAATTCAACAGTTCACAAGACAACTAAGAGGACACCACTTCAAATTCTCTTTGGTTGTGACAACAGGCTACCAGAGATAAGCCGGATCATTGAAAATGCCTCAGATGATAAATTACCGCTAGTCACAATGGAACGTGAAAAATGGAGACAGTTTGTTAATAGACGTCTCTCAGAAAACGCAACTGCTCAGGATAACTACGCTAAAAGGAACTCATCAACTTCCACAAAATCATATAATGTGGGAGATTTTGTTTTGATTTCAAGAGAAGCTTTAAAACCCAAAAAGTTGGAATCTGGTTGGGTAGGACCTTATAAAATAACAAAAAAATTACCAAATAGCAGATATGAACTTCGAAGAGTTGACGACGTTTCCGAGTCCATACGAATGACAGTAGCTGTTCCAAGTCAAATGCGGCTATGGACCAAAGAATGGTTCCCGAACGAATGCGCAGAGATATTAGAAAGTTATTTTGATATGGATGAAAATGTCAAGGTATGTTTATTACTGTATTAATTTGCCGTGTTAGCGATGGAAATTATTTAGTCCTGGAGTATCTGGACCTTCATGTTGCATCTTGGTTTTCTGGCCGGCAACGATTATGCCTTGGGGTGCTTGGACCATTTTGGTTTTCTGGCCGGCAACGATTATGCCTTGGGGTGCCTGGACCATCTTGGTTTTCTGGCCGGCAACGATTATGCCTTGGGGTGCTTGGACCTTGATGTTAACATTTTGGTTTTCTGATCGACTATCTAGTTTCAGATGTTCATAGTAATTTGACCTTAATATACATTTTGGTTTTCTGGCCGGCAACGTTTATGCCTTGGGGTGCTTGGACCTTAATGATATATTATGGTTGTGTGTTGATTGCAAAGAAATATGACGGGTTATTTTAACCTTAGGGTACCTGGATCTTGATGTACATTTTGGTTTTCGGGCCGGCAACGTTTCTGCCTTGGAGTGCTTGGACCTTAATGTCACATTATGATTTGCTGGTCGGTTATTTTAACCTTGAAGTGTCATGAGGAATTTTATATTTCTACAAAGAAAACCTCTGTTGATAGGGATTTCTTTTGTTTCAGAACGATAATCGTCAGGATGAAGCCGAGTCGTCTTAATAAGTTATTATAGTTACGTTATTGTAAATGTTTTAGGAATAAAGCTAATATTATTCTTATAAATCGAGTTATAATTATTATTGGGCCGAGAGCGTCCCAATTTCAGGATGGCCGTGTTAGCGCGCCACTGTGCATATATGGCACTAGATAATATAGACGTATTCCGTTTGACATGTCCAAGCAGTTATTCTTATTCGGGCGAAGAGTAACTACGTGCCTTGTCTTGATACGGTATAATATTTAAAATCTAAAACCGGGTGTTGCCATTGAAAAAATTAAGTAAATTGAACTTAAAATTAGCCATATATAAGACAAGTATAGACTCGGTATAGAAGAATCCAGCACTATCACCACTATTCGTTATCTTAATGTGCCATGTCTGTATATTAAACAATTCTGAAATCAATGTAATCCTACCCAAATTATAATAATTTAATTTGGCAAACCTGTAATATTTTTTTAAAACATTCCAGGCTTAAATACAGTATTATGAAACCATTCTAAAACTGAAATAAAATACTATTTTACTAAGAAATGGAGTAATTGAATATTGAATTATCTGATAATAATTTGAATATATTATTTATATCAAACTGATTAACCCCATATATTGTTAACTTATAACATTACAAATCTTACCTAATATTTCTAAATATAAAAACGATTTAGTCACACAAGAAACATATTATAACCGCACTTCTTTTAAAACTCGTTACATTAAAAGATCGCTTTTTATTATAAAAACACATTAATGGGAACTACATTTAGCTATTTATATTGGCAAAATAAGTCTAAACTCGTATACTCAGTTGACGTAAGATAAGATATATCAGTCAATCAGGAGCAGTGCAACGGTTCAAACTAGAAGGTTATGTTATACTGTAATCAATATTCTCGCGAATAAAAATAATTGCAAACTGAAATGGCATTTCCAGATGAAGGTAAATCAGTTATTTTAATTTTAAATTGGTAATTGATAACCATGAATTGGTTAAAACAATAAAAAGTACAATATATTTTCAAAACAGTGTTTGTATTCTGATCTCGAAATTGTATAAATTTTATTGGGCCGGTCAGGGTTAAAACTTACTTTTTCTACTCCTGTGTATGAGTGAAATGTGCCACTACAATTAATAATAATTAATATTATAATATAAAAACATATTTAAAAAAATACAATAAATAATTACCCTCATTACCACTCTTTGTATACGTACCTTTACCAATACGCGTTTTTAAAGTAATAAAAATCTAAATAATTTTTAAAAAATATAATTTTAAACAAACATTGGAAACAATTTAAAAAAATTTTAAATACATCTTTAGTGACTTCAGAAATTTAATATTGACGATCCATAATTTATATTTTCCTAAATTTAATAAAATGTGTTTATATACGTTAAAATAAAATCCAGTTTTTAAATTTATAAATAAAAATTTTGTTTTCCTGAAATTTAAAATTTCGCATTTTTAATATCTTCAATTTTTGACGTGTAAGTCTTTTTTACTGGGCGCCTACGTAATTCACAATATTATGTCATCTTCTAGAAGTAAAAGTGTTTGATCTGAAAAGGAATTACAAATTCTGTATACATCTAATACACAACTGTAGGAAAATCTACACTAGATTATTTACAATATAACGTATTGAGAATTTTGAATTTGTTTAATAAATAATTATTGTTAACTTACTCTTGCCATTTTAATGACGTACATACACTAGATTATTTCCTCTTTTTATGAATATCTATGTTGATTTTTGATATGGGCTTATAGTTAGATTAAAATGTTTAAATTAATAATACGATATTTTTAGGAAGAAAACTTAATTTTTTTCCAAATATGTATCACAAATAAAATTTACTGATTATTTACAGCTATTTATCTTATCTATGAAGGTAATGTGGTTATAAATATGTTTATTCTTTTTGATTTGTGACAATTTTATTTTGATTAAGATTAACAGAAAGTAATCGAGATATAGAAATTAACTTAGTAACAATTTTGTTTATACATACAGGGTGTCCCATTAGCGTGTAATTTTTCAAAATTTCAGTTTGTGTTATTGACTCGCAAACAAGTTTTAAATAAAAATTATATGGATTTAAAAACTACGTATTTTAAAAATATTTTTGGATATACAGGGTATTGCCTTTTTGTCTGGCAAATAAAAATATATAGTTTTTAAAGAGAGAGTTTTTTAGTTTTAAAATGGTTTAGTAATACTGTATTCAACCCTAGAATATTTTTAGAGAATATTACAGGTTTGCTGCAATTAATTTTTTTATGAAATTAGAAAATGATGCTAACCCCAAATTAAATTATTATAATTTAGGTAGAGGTTATAGCACTAGTTTATTTTATACAGAGTGTCATAAAACATGTCTTAAATATGGCTTTTTAATTAATTTTAATTTCAATTTAATTTTTTTTTCAAATGCAACACCCTGTATATGATTAAAGCCCAAAAATTCCCTATAAATTTACGTATCCAATGATACCAACATATACAGGGTGTCCCATCAATGCGTAAATGATCGATAGCTGTTTTATTATCGGAAATACGAATAAAAAAATTAATATAGAATTTGTATGACCATATTTAACAAATATTCTTAAATATACAGGTAGTTATACATATTTGTTTTCACATCTACACACGATTTTAAAAGACTTCATTTATTTGATATGTTGTATATAGGGTGTGTCAAAATTCAGAGTAACGATTTTCCCAATTTTTTAAATGAAATGCCCTATATGTTATACTACCAATTAATTAATGCAAGGTATTTCATTTAAAAAATTGAGAAACTCGTAAGCTTACGTTTTGATACACCCTATATACAACTTAGCAAATTAATGAAGTCAGTTATTGTTTGACGATGTGGAAACAATAAAATATTTAAAACTACAGGCATGGTGTTTTACTTTAAAAAGTATAGATTTGGTCAGCACATCGTTTATGAACCACCCTGTATATTTAGGAATATTTATTAAATACAACTTTTATATTAAAAATTTCTTCGTGTTTCTATTAATTAAATAGCTGTCCATCAATTACGCATTGATGGCATACCCTGTATATGTGTCAGATCTGTAAGGAATTTCATGCTTAAATAATATACAGGGTGTTGCATTTGAAAACATTTAGTAAATTTAAATTAAAATTAGCCATATTCAAGACATGGTTTATGATACTTTGTAGATTAGATTAGATTTAATTAGGACTGTGTGCCACGTAGCCTCCCCCACCTCGACCTTTTCAGATTTATTGTGGATATCCTTTATTCGTTGTTTAGAGTACCTTGTCTAATTTGGTCTTTTGTTGTAGACTCCATAGACTGGGAAGTAGTTCTCCGGTATAGCTGGTTGCCTTTGGTTTTTCTTCTCCAAGTGTAAGGAATCTTAGTCTTGCTAGAGCTTCTCAGTAGCACAATACGTGTTTTGTCCTCTTCCTAACAGAATCGGTACAAGGTCTCTTCTGTCAGACCGATATTATACTGCCCTGTTAATAGATCCACTAGTACTCTAGTATTTTTCCTATTAAGGCTTAGTAGATGCTCGGTGAGTTTAGGCGATGGTCCTTTTATGAACTCTTTGGCCTGTTTCTGTCCTAGTGAGTTTTTCCGCCATTCCTAAGATTTTTTAAACATTCACTGCTTTGTACATGTTCTGATAGTTGTTTTTGTTACAATACAGAAAGGGTTCTGGGCCAAAAAGAGTATTTCAGGCTTCTTCTCGGGCTAGTAAATTAGCTTCTTCATTGCCCTTATGTCCTCTTTGGCCTGGTACCCAGGCTAAGGTTAGTCTGTTTTGACCACCCAGCTCTGTTAGGGCTTCCAAACAGTCCCACAGAAGCTTTGAGTGCACCTCCAAGAAACTGAGTGCTTTTAACGTTGCTTGACAATGGTTTTAATACCTTTTTTGCACAGTGATGTGTTGCTGCTATTTCTGCCTGAAATACTGTCGCATGTTTTCCTAAGCTCAGTGAGATTCTTGTCCTTGGCTTGGTACTATATATATACTTACTCCTGAACCTTAATGGGTTTTGGAGCCGTCTTTATACCAGGTGAATTCTGCATGAATAAGAGGTCCTTCCGTTCACGCTTCTCTGTCTGGTATACTTACCTTATATTGCTTTTGAAAGTTATACTTTGGAAGCATTTCGTTTAAAGTCATTCCCATTATTTGGTCGTTCTTCAACTCTTTATTTAGCTCGCTGTAGTCGCGTCCGACTTTGGTATATAACCATAGGGACATTGTCGGTTTTAGTACCCAAGTTTTTCCACACAACCTTCGACATAAGTTGATGGATGTTTTGCTCTTTTAGGTGACCTTTTGCAAGTGTTAATTTAGTGTTAATCTGTGGTGGTCGAAAATGACTCCCAAGTATTTAGCCTATTGAGCAAATGAAATCTTAACTCGTTTCAGTACTGGTAACTTTAGTCCTGTTGGTATTTTTTGTTTTGGAAAGTTGGCTACTGTGATTTTGTGTAGGTTTACTGTTAGTTTCTCCTCGCTGCACCAAAAAGGAATTGTTATGAACACAGCCAGGGCTATTTTCGAAATTCTATGCAATACAATCAACTGACGAATATAATATGGAAAATGAATGTGATAAGAAAAAATAGATTGCCAAAAAAACACTTATAAAAATAAGAGGAACAAAAGTTAGAAAGTAAGGCTATGTTTTAAAATTTCTGTAAGCATTTTACACACTGTTCGTACCTGTAAAACAGGCATTTGTTGTAAAATGCAGCAATTATTAAAGGAATAGCAAAAATAAAACATTAATATAAACTTACCTGTGCGTTTAATCAACATCTTTAAACACATGTATAGAAATGAGTATGGTAGAAGGACCTACACAACACTCTTACAGCAGACTACGTTACTCAATACGCGCATACGCAAGATTAGAAATGAGAAGAGATCGTAGCTCGAGTATACTATGTTTCATCCTCCTTATCAAATAGTTTCGTGTATATGGGGACTTAGTCATAAATATTACAGGTGATATAATAAAAAAATATACCAATTAGACATACCAATCTTTTAATATAAATAAAACTAAATTTGTACATATTAGTTACTTCTATATATTGGTTTATCGCCAACTGAAAATATGCCCGTAACGTAAATTATTTTTAGACGTATAATATACAATAACTTGTATCTATAAAAAACGTTTAATTTAAATGTCAAGTATAAAAATGGTAGTTATTAAACGTTTAAGAATTCAAACAAAACGAAATTTACATATTATAATATTACATAAATTTATATAAATTAAATTTAAATAAACCTAAACATATATTTAGGCACACTGTTTACAAATCGTTCGTCGTAAACTAAAAATATTCGTATATTGTTAACTTTATTTTAACAGAATAATTTACAATTATATACAATAGGACGTATAAAAAAAAACTTATAATATATCATTTAAAAAGCGGTATGTGTAATAATCGTAAACTAAAAACGTATACTGAATAAAACAATACCAAATATAAACATTAATTATGTATAAACTACGTTAATTTTACGAATATGTGCTGCCTGGGAAGTTTCAACAAAAATAAACTTATAAAAAATATTGATATCACGTTTCATTTTAAAGATAAACTCCATTTTCTGAATAAACAAATAATCCGCGATATCTTTTTAACTATTTAATTTATGAAAAAAATGCATATGCAGGGTTGGGAAAAATTAGTTGAACACCCGATTTGTGGCTCAATTATGGACTGTATTGAAAATTAACTCGAATAAAGTTTTTTGTATATTTTATGCCCTATTTAATGACCCTTAAAGATTTTTATTACCTGTCATATTTATTAAGACATGACGTCATCGAATGAAATTTTAAATAAATCACCCTATATTTTTTATTGTTGATTTCTTTTCTAAATCGATCAATTTGTTTTTTTTTTTTTTAGGACATTCCGGTAGAACTAATTGTGTAATTTGTGGAATAGAAAATATTCACAAAAACAATTATGATTCACATATTAATGGCAAAAAGCACATCTACAACGAACGAAAATTATCTACATCTACAATTTATAAATGTGAATCTTGCAATAAAGTGTTGACGGATCGAAATTTTTTCAAAATACATTTGGCTAGTAATGCA